ATGAGTTTTCTGTGCACTAAGACTTCGCTTGCGAGAGTGCAGCTAACACTATAAACACAAGTCAACGATGGAAGGCGTTGTGATCCGCCTCCTGGTGATGTTCTCTGGTATGGTTCGAGTAGCCTGGGCGCCTACTCCACTTGGGAAGGGGACACCAAAGACAATATTTCGCGCGGAGAAAAGTGAACGGATGATGGAGACATGTCTGGATAACTTAGGGTTTTTTAGACGTTCCCCTGGGTGGGTATTCACGGATGAGGGTTGACTTGGGGTGAAGAAAAAGGCACCATAACTTCGCAGTGATACTTGCAAATGAAATCCGAGGCACGATTGCTCTTCTTTTATTTTGAGTCATCTTTTCTATATACTATCTCCGATTTTGTGTCATAGCTAGATAGCTGCATACGGAATTAAAATCTGATGTAAGAAAAAACTATTTCCTTCTGAGTCCCAACCTCTTTCTCATCGCACATCATCTCGTCTCAGCGACCGATAAAGTAGTTGCTCCAATTGCAAATGGGAGATTGCCCCATTAATTACTAGCCATCTCCCGCAACAAATTTACGACGCCATTTGTACCTGTAAGAAGGATATCAAGTTGGAATATACAAAGCCTGGGTCATGGGTCATGGCTTATGGAGAACTGTTGCTCTAATGGGGTTATACATCTTGAGGAAGGACACGCGGCCGAAATATGGAGCGAGACGAATAACAGGTCTCTGAAGAGCATGCTGGGACTGATATTTTTGTGAGGTTTTCAACTTTGGAAAGTTTGTAGGCGCCGGCAAAGACGAATCCTTCACCTTCCAGTGGTGCCGGTGTAATCGCTCAGTATGCTCTGAATACCTAGGATAGCCAAGAAGAATCGCATCCGAATCGAAGTCAAACACTCACAAGCTCATCTAAAATCGACGACTTCTCGTCAATGTCGGGTCTATCATTCTCACGCGAGTCCTCAACCTTCTCTAACCATGCATCATCTCGCCTCGATGACCAATAAAGAAGCTGCTTCAATTGCATACAGGAGCTTGCCTCATTAATTTCCAGCCATCTCTCACCACAAATTTACGATGCTATTTATACCCGCAAGGAGGAAATCAAGTCGAAAAATACAAAGCCTGGATCTTTGCTTATGGGGGACTGTTGTTGTAATGGGACAAACAACTTGAGGGAGAACAGACGGCTGAGATGTGGAGCGAGAGGAACAACAGGTTTCTGAAGAGCATGCTGGGACTGATATTTTCGAGTAATTTTAAACTGGAGTTTTTGTGGGTGCCAAGACCAAGAATTCGGCCAATTTGCCATGAGAGCTTCTTTTGTCGATGAGTCAACGGCACTCCCCAGCGCCCTGGACGGCACCAAAGAAGTTGGGTTAAGCAACAATACAGATATCACGCTCTGTCAAGACTTTTCTGACATTTCAGCACGACCTTCGGGAAGGAGTTGGAAGGAGGCTAGAAAGCCAGAGGTTAAATTTACCGGGGTACCCACAAGTCTGCAGCGCCCAGCTGACCGGCCTCTTCGAACGCTTCAGAAGGATCACTTTGTCTTTGGATTTAGTCCTAATGTCGGTATTAGGAGAGCTCCGCATCCAGTGGTTTTCGCGATTTTTCCCGGCTGCCACACACCCGCAAATAGCCATCGTTTCGTTGGCTGGAGAGGGGAAATAATGAAGGGCAAAGAGCCTCTCTAAGTGTATGATCAAATGGGGACTTGTGAGGGGTGGTACTGTTTGAGGGGAGCTGTATGGGAGGCATAGGAGGGGATATATTACCCGCATTAGTATCTTTAGCCTGTAGGCAGAGAGGGCCAGAATTCCCTATGTAGTCATAGATTGAGACTGAACGATAAGATTGTAATAAAGATACTTTCCGAGTAGAGCCAGACCCCTGATAAGACGATCCTCGTCAAGACTATATTGCCGTTAAGACGATATTTTTTTCCGGGACGGACTTCGTTCCCATACATTTACCGATTACACGATTATCGTTCTTCAACCTCTGAATATCGTCTTAACCAGGGTTTTTTTTGCTAGATTGGTGCTAACAATGCCGCCAAAAAAGGGAATTTCTGTGGAGCAGCGACGTGCTCTGCGACGATGGACGCGCTGCCAGGTCCCAAAACCAACACAAAAACAGTTTTTGAGTGGTTCTTCGCTGAGTACGGCCATCGATTAAGCCAGTCCAGAGTCTCCGAGTCTTTGAGCAAGACCTCTGCGAAACTCGACGAAGCTACAAGTACTACTGCGCTACGACAGCGAGCTGGAAACTGGCCTGACCATGAGGGTGTTAGAGCGATTAAAGACGGCAAGTGGAAGCATCAAAGAGGCATCAAAGGTAAAAAGTAGCCTAGATAGCTGGATTAGGTAATCATATTCTTTTAAACGATATTCTCTGTATGACGATATTTATTCACGGCCCTGATTACGTCGTCTTAACAGGGATTTGACTGTAATTCGTTTCATCTAGAAAGATCGGGTACATAGCCTTTGTGAAAGGTCCTAGCTTAATCTTCTGTGGTTAGAAAGCAGGTAGGCTCCATTGGGGTCAATAGACTTGGGACATACCTTTGTTGGATGAGGCACTTTGATAGAAAGTGAATGAAGACGCGTCTGGACTTCAGCTATCAAGAGTGATTAAATGCAGACCTTAACCCGCGTTCGGTATGAAAGAACCGGAAGGCACAATTGGAATGGAACGTCTACTTTTGCTGGAAAATCACCACATAACTGAAACAGAAGTATGGAATTTGATCTGTAAAGGTGACGGTGTCTAGCTCATTGAAGTTTATTACTAATTGGGCCTAGCTCAACATGAGACGGCTACAGGCCACCCCTTTCCCTCGCCGTCCGATGCTCAGGATAATTTTTACGTCAAAACCACCCCGTGTGATGGGTGGTATGCTGGTATCATTGCTCGATATTATGGACGGGTACTTGCGCGTCTTGCACTACCGTGTGCATCCATGGATTAGGAAACTCTTTAATAGATAAATTTCCCACCTCACAATTCCATCATCTAAAAATAAGATTAACGCGACACCTGCAAATGATTGCGGAAATCAATTTGGGAGTGTATTGCTACAGGAGGGAGTAATAATTAGGATACCCTAAATCTGCCTGTGAGGCTAGTTTGGAGGTCAAACAACATGATCCGCACTCTCTAGAGCTGGTCTACCATGCTAACGGTCTGACTGTTTGACTAGTCTCCCTAGCAATTGTTTGTATTTTTTCTTCTAGAGCGAGAGAAACAAAAAGACGTTTTCGATGGTTTAGGGCAGGAATTAACTATGCTCAACCTTGACTTCAGGTGCCCAGGGCTGTATTTGCCACGACTGACCTTAACTGCCGCTGTGTGGAACTTGCATCATTCCTCTTGACCGTGAATAACTGGACAGGAGGACGGCCCCTGTACGCCCCTATGATCCTGTCCCAGAACTTACCGCGCAAAATAAGATGTGGACAGTAATTTTCATACTTCTAAACTGCATATGATTGATGGATAGCCCAGACGACGGGACACCGCACCCTCTCCCTTCGCTGATCCCGGGAGCGTCGGCTAGTTAAGTAGAAATGAAGATGTAATGCACCAATTGTTCCTCGAAACCCCCCATCCTTTTCCAATACTCCGTGCCTCGTCCCAATGTGTCTCCAGGCACGGGTTTATCTCGCCTACCTGGCCTTTTCGCGGGTTCAAGCCGCCAGATTAATAAGTTGCGGTCTTAGTCCTGCAGGTATCTATGTCGTCACGCTCGTGAATGTGGGGAAAGTTAAGGCTATTGGTTAAGTCAGCGGGCCCTTGAATAATAATTGGGGTGTGTGGCCGATCGTGCGCGCAAATGAAACATGACTTCGGATGTATTAGGTCTCTTTGTTTGCAAAGGATTCATCCGGATAGGATTATTTGAATAAATGTCCGTGGGGGGGGGCACGGCTAGATTTGAAATTGATTATTGGGCGTAACTTGACTTTGAGAGACTTTGCTTAGCCAAGAATGGTAGTGGGGATAGATGAAGGGTGCCTGGTCTTTGTCCTAATTAGCTTCATTAAGAGCTGATTGAACAAACTAGGCTGTAGAAATCAGTATTAATTTTTCCAGAATCAAACACGGGACCCTTACCGGGAGTTGATGGCCAGTACTGATGAACAAAAAAGGGTCCCTGCTCATCAGCCCTTGGGGTCTAAAACCTTTCCCCAAGCACCCTGTGGGGAACTCAGGTACGAGTGATGGGTAGTTGGGTGGACATGCTAGGGTCTGTCAAGTCTCATGCGGCACCATGTCTCCAATGGATAAGGACTTACCTTGGAGCATGGTGCGGAAATGAATCGTTTCGATAAGTCTGAGGGTCGGGCCACTCTTTGTTCTCGCATCTCATTTAACATTGTGTCTGTTCAGCTCAGCGAGCGGGTCAGCGCGTTATCTACCCCGGGCCCACTTCCTGTCGAAGGTGAGATGTTCGGATTATTCTTTTCCCTCGTCCTATCGCCCCGTATTTTCCGACCCTCATCTAGTAGGGCGACCAATTAGACGTATCTCTGAATGACTCATGTTTGAGTTGTGAAGTTTAACTCGAAACACGCCTGTTAATTCCGCATCTCCCCTTCGTTCACTCCTCATCCGCAACTCATTTCTCTCACGCAAATCACCTTCGATTGCGCCTACACTCGTTCATTCTTTAGCTCTTGAATTCCACTCAACTTACACTTGAATTACTTCCATTACATCTCTTATCCTTTCTTTCCCTCTTGTACAAGATTTGTTAAAAATTTCATAAGACGTTTGTGCTAATTTTCCTCGTCGTATATTCCAAGCAATCTTTGGCAGATAATATCTGTCGGAACATAGCCACACAATACCGACGAAAAGGTCAAGTCAAAACAAGCGCATTTCCATTCCTACTCTCTCTCTGCATCCTTAAAGAAGACGTGCCTGCTCGCTATTCTTCTACACCGGACACCTTCTGTCAGACGACATTCTTTTCATTATTGAAAGATACCCAAGATGCGCGCCTCTATCTTCATAACATTTATTCTTCCATATCTGGCTATTGCTCAAGTCGCACCAGGGGCACCCGATACCCCTCGAGCTCCTGATGCTCCTGGCGCACCAGGAGGACCCGATACCTCCATCACAAAAACTAGAACTTCAACAGCAACTCTCACCCGAACTATCACTGTATCAATGGTATCATCTGTTATTGCAACTGTATCAATGAACAGGACTGCTCCTGTTAACACTGGGACCTTCCCGGCCTGGAAGGCACCTGCTGCTACGAATACGAATATACCTCAAAATACCAATCCTGCAGGCGGCTTTGCTAAAAACAGTGGAACCGGCTCATCTCCTCAACCAACCTCAAAGTTCATACCTGGGAACAGTGCCGCAAATGTGCGCGGAAATGAAGGCCTTTTAGGGATAGCCGGAATATTGGCAATCCTCACACTTTGGTAGTTATTGGAATGTGTAGGGTAAAGTTGAAGGGAAAAATCGGACCACGCCATCGCCACTTTCAGACTTGGAAGACAGCCTCAGTCATGATTCCATCTATAGGCCTTGAACAAAAGCTTCCTTGAAATCACGTGTTTCATATTGTTATTCGAAAATTTCACTTGATATTATCTATTCATATTTTCTGTTACATGGGCAACGATACTACGAACATACAAAGCTATAATTTTTACTCATTAAACTTCTGTTGTGTGGCCTTGATGGTCGTCTCCCCCCCCTGATTTGTACAATTAAGCACGATGGCCGGCCTTCTGCACTCTGACCTCCGCTAGACACGTTTAGACCTTATTTTCAACTCTAAAACGCTCGCTATTCGTTCAACCCTCTCGAACAAGCCTCATTCTTACAACGACAGACTAGATGAAATCTTTAATCTTCTATTTCGTGATTTAATTTCTCGGCGGAAATTTGGGACGCCTTCGAGTCGCGGGCAATTTAGGGTGCAGTCATGCTCTACGTCTTCATTTCAATGTATTAGTAATAAGCTCAATGGGTCAGAGCAATAAATTGGGAGTCCGCCAGGGGTATGTAAATGGTAGACGACGTAAGATTAGATCGTAGATGAGTCAGGTCTCAATAAAATGGCCGATGAATAAATCCTCCCGAGTTCACATCTCGCTCCATCCCTGTACACTTGCATCTCGTACAACGGCTTTGCGTCAGGAACGACTCAATTGTAACCCCCTACAAGCGCGGCTCAGTGGAGCTACTCGTGTCACGTTTCGAATCTTGGGACTAGACATATCCACTAGTGCTAATCATATGATCCCAATTTCAAATCCGATGGTGAGGCGTAGACAGGGTGCAGACTGACATCGGCTTCATGCACCTCCCCATCCCCGCAACGACCAATGGCAGCGAGACGACCCGGAAAATTACGTGGTCCGATACAATGCCGGAAGTCCATGGCCGGGAAAGGCAATGACAAATCGCCTCACATACAATGGCGACTTATCAAATTCAGATGTAGGCTAATGCACATCGCTAAGGAACGGGACACATTCCTCATCTCCGCTTCTCGTAATACCTGGCCAAGCTGTGTAAAAAGCCTCGTATTAAGAACAAACGTAACAAGTGGTGGATGTAGGCTTGCGTATTGTGAAGGGTTACATCCATTACTTAGTTTTGCACTTGAATCTCCAAAGGGTTCTAGTGAGCAAGGAAATCAGCACGGTTATTGAAGCCTGTCTAAGGCGAAATATCAAGTTGCGCCATCCCCCGTATAATACTCGACTTTGCACCCAGTTCCCGAGCTGTAATGGTGATTTTTAAGTCATCACTGATGCTCAATGTAATTTCAATCTTGCCAGCTTTCTGCACGCCTCGGATAGCTGCGTGTCCAATTATCTTACTAGCCTTCCATATCTTTTCCCGTAACTCTTCATCTTCGTCTTCATCTTCTTCATCCTCTTCACTTTCATCATCACCATCTGTCGATCCTCCATTAGTTTTTGCCTTTGCCTCAGGCTTAGTCACTTTGATGGAAGAGTCGCCCTCTGCTATCGCAATCAAAACATCGCCACCAGCGCTAGGAGCGGCAATCTGAATCGTCCGGCGCACTGGTACTCCAGTTTCGGGTAGAATTATGGGAATAAAAGTTCCCTTCTCCACATCGTTGCTGATGGATAGTACTCCAATAGCCTTGCTGAGATGTGCCCTCGCAAGGACACTCTCGTGCATCATTGAGTCAACCTCCTGTTCTGTGTAATCTTTTAATAGGCTAGCTTGTAACGCAGCTCCTCTCGCGTGTAGTTCTGAAGGATTGATGGCCGTGGGAGTTATTGATGGCGCGAGAATGACGGTTTTTGGACATGTAAAGACATTACGCATATTGGAAGCAATTTTGGGGGTATGAGAGGTTCCTCCAGAGAGTATAACCTCATCTACATCCAGGACATCAAGACCGGCCTTTTCAACGGCTTCTAACACTAGTTTGTTGAACTGTTCTAGCACGGATCGTGCAATTGTCTCATAACGAAGCCGATTGATGGTTGAGGAAAAGTCAACTCCAATGTTTAGACTCTCCACGCTAAAGCTCGCATTGGTCCCGATACTTAGGGCTTTCTTGGTCGCTTCCGCCTCTAGTTTCAACTTGGATAAACTTCGGGCGTTATTGCGTGGATCAGCGTCCTGCCCATTCCATTTGATGAATTCTTTTGCAAAATGGTCCTGCAAGACCTTATCTAGATCTTCACCTCCGACATGTTTGTGGGCCGTTGCTAAGATAGTGTACATGCCAGCTCTTGATGAAATGACAGCTACATCTGATCGCGTACCACCGAGGTCAGCGACGATCACATTTTTATCGGAAAGCTCAGTTCCGGGGCGAGCATCATACGCTGAAAGGGCAGCAAGGGGCTCGTGAATAAATTGTAGAACTTGGATTCCTGCATTGTTGGCCGCACGAATCATGGCTGCCTTTTGCCCTTCATTGAAATTTGTGGGAATGGTAATCACAGCCGCATCGATTTGTTTACCGGTATAATCAGATGCAGATTGGACAAGCCGTCGGATTTGTCGCGTCACAATCTCATGGATACTTAACAAAGATTCCTCATCGCCTACCTTATCTTTGATTTTAAACGCAATAGTATCCTCATGTTTGAGGGGTTGGGCCGAGGCACGACCATTCGACCGATCTATACTTTCGAAACTAGGTTTGAGGCCAATTAGCAGAGATTGAGTCACCAAAGAAACCTATTCTCACTCCTGACCCAGAAAATCTCGAAAATATGCAACGGTATTGCTGCCGTTTCGGATTAGCTGCTGTTTAGCCTGCTGTCCGCTGTACTCTTCGCCTTCAACATAGGATAGAATAGCAGGAATCTGTCGATCTAGGAGTAAAGTTAGAGAATTGAAGGAATGAATATTGTGTCAAATCTGACCTCCGTCTTCATTTGCAATGACCACAGCCTTGCCCTCTGAATTTATGCAGGCAATTGAGCCGTAACAGTTTCCAAGAGCGATACCAATGACATTTCGTTCCCCCGAAACTGCGGACGTGACATCTTCTTGAGCCATTTTAAAGCTTGCTCAGAATATTTTAGAAAATTATCTTTCACTTATCCACAAATTTCTGTGAGTGACAAATACTTGTTTACATAAGGCAAGGCAGGAATTGTCTGATTTAATTTTTCGCAAGGCTGAAGACTTGAAATAGGTCCATTCACATCAACAACACTTCAACATCTACTTAGCACCTCTCTCGAACATGGCTACCCAACTGTTCGTCCTGCCCGGGGACACTATCGACCCCAAAATTCTCCCTGCACACCCAAATCTCCCACTGAAGATTGGCCCTGGCTTGCGACACACGCCCCCAAACACAATTAGCCCTACGGTGGCTGGAAAATTATGTACAGACCAGCGTAAAAATGCCGTGTGGGTGGAATATAGTGGTCGTCGCGTAAATTTACTCGAAAAACTCAGAAGACCAACTCTAATGTTTATGTAGTATATCCCAACGACGGGTGACCTTGTGATTGCTACTATTCAAAAGTCTGCTGCCGATGTCTTCTATGCCTCGCTCAGCGACTACACAGCTAATGCTTCTTTGCCACAACTCTCCTTCGAGGGCGCCTCACGGAAGACACGCCCGCAGCTCGTGCCTGGCGCGCTCGTCTACGCACGGGTCAGTCTTGCTAATAAACATATGGACCCGGAACTGGAATGTGTCTCCTCATCGACCGGAAAATCTGAAGGCCTCGGCCCATTGGTCGGAGGCATGCTGTTTTCTATATCTCAAGTGATGGCGCGACGACTGATGCTCCCGAATCCAGCGGAAAAGGGTAAAGTTGTTATCCTGGATGAGCTGGGCGCGGCAAGTATAGCTTTCGAGATTGCCGTGGGACGCAATGGGAAACTCTGGGTTGATAGCAAATCGGTGCAGACTACTTTGGGAATCGGGAAGGCGATACAAGAGATCGATGCCAAGTATCTAAGTGTAGAACAACAAAAAAAACTGGCTCGAAAAATTATCAAAGAAATTTCCTAGATTGGGACAGACCAGGAATATCTCTCAGTGCTGTAGCACCCAACACATCGTGTATCTTGTCGTGAAAATTGTCAAGATGCACTTATTTAAAGGCTTACGACGAGCTTAGAGTTTTCGACACTAATATACATGCAAAGATTGTAGAGGCCCGTGAGCCATACAAGCTCTGTGCGTCAATCTCAAATGACAACAAAAAATATGGAAAATAAGAATGCGTGTGAAACTTACCTTGAGGACAGCCGCAAGCTATTTAATCGCAGAGCCTACTATGAACGATGTAAATTCTCGATAAAGTGAGGTCGAAGCATCAATGATCAGCAACTACGACCAAAGGCACGCCGCTACAAACTTAACTTTCAAAATATCTGATGAAGTCAAGGCGCCAAAATCCAAAAAAATATGATCAATACTTGAGTATGAACGAGAGATGTTATAAATGCACATTGAAGTAGCTTGGTCGGAAAAGATGATATAGATATTGGGGCATGCAGAACTCGTATGATGTGAAAAGGCAGTTGAGTAGGTCGGAAGACAGTTTAATTCGGTAACATCAGCCATAACTGCGAAAGACCAAATAAACCTTGTGGAAACGACACCTGAAGCATAGAAGCTAGTGTCGCAAACTTTACTAGGCAGCTAGGATTCAGCTCCTCTAGAATTCACACTCGAGCCTCTAGATCCGGATGATTCGCAGGGTATAACCATAATTCGCGATTTCTCGGGCTTTCTACTCTCTCCTGATCGCAGTTGCAACTAGATATAGGGTCATTTCTGCATACCCTTGCATTTTTAAAGTGCATAGCTGCCTTACTACGCTGCCATTGCGGTAGATAGAATTCAATGCGCCATTATTTTCAGGGTTAAAAATTACCTGGAACGTGATGGCTTACGAAATCTAAGTGGCGTGCGACATCGGTCTAAATGTCGTTCGTACGAGGTGGATTAAAGTTGTACGCGGAGGAGGTCCAGGCGAGTGGAATATATGCAGTAGCAAGCAGGGTGTAGTAGGGTAGCCACTCGATGTGGCACAAAGTTAGTATTAATGAATAGAGGCACCGCTACATAGTCGTCAGACTTGTCTGCGAGATGGCAGGGAACGATGAACAATTTTTTCGGCGAAAAGGAGATATGTAGAATTTGCCACCATCTTATCAATGTACTTGTTACTCTATTATTTTTATTTCTACATACGCAATGTAGCACGCCATACCAAATAGAGGGAAACAGAGTAGGGATAACTTGCGGCTGATTGCTTCATTCGCTCATAGAACACTGCTTGCAGTGACTAGTTAAGGAGATACCTAGCTAGTTGCTTGGATGTGTTGGTGATTGTTGTGTAACTCGAGCCAATGATTACCTAGCGTATAGGGCTCCTATCTATGCAAGGCCAGACCTTGTACTTCACTGTAATCCTCTTTTGTTACCAAAATAAGATCTCCGTCATGATGCCCATTTTGGAAAGCTGTTTAGCTCATATATATATTATTCATTTTTCCTGATTTGGCGCCTTGAGGCCCATGCAGGTTTTATCGGAAGATACGTACTAAAATGGGATGACTCAGTTTGACATTTACAACACTCACACTTAGGTTTCATTTGCAGATACCGCTCGAGGTTAACCCTTACGGCGTATAACCTCTTCCGTGCATACCCACCACAGGGAAAAGCGAGAAAACCCTGTGGCCATCCGAGTGTGCTTTCATCATTCCACAAGCACAATATCACCGCGAGAGATAGTGGTGTGTGAATCTGACTGGATTCGAACCAGCATTCTCCTGTCTCGAATGGAGTAGGTGTCCAAGCTACTCAGTATCTACTTGGGAGAGCGGCCCGGATGGTGTACCACTGCACCATCCAACCCTTTTTTAACATTCCATCAGGCGCGAGTCGAACGCGCGACATTCCGGTTTCATGGTCAATTACAGCCAGACGCCATAAACCAACTGGACGACCTAGGGGGTTTATTTAGCTCATAACTTATTCATTTAATGTCCTTTTAGCCTGTAGGCCAAAGATACCTATGCTAGTAATAAATCCCCTCTTAAACCTCCCGTACAGCTCCCCTGAAACAGAATTACTTCTCAAAAGGACTTATTCGATTATAAACTGTTGGTACAACACGGTTTGCGTGCGTCGACAACAGGCAATAACTATTTTCAATATAACGATACAATAACATTCACAAATAATTCATTATATTCTATGTTCTAACCCAGGAGGATTATCATCAACACCTATCGGTGGTGTCACATACGAACCTCCAGCTCTCACTATAGAGTCTGTAGAGCCAAGATTGAGTAACAAAGTCCTCACTTCGACGAGGATTCCCAATCTCTTTCGCCGTCTATATCGTCTTCATCTCTCAACATATTCCCCTATCACCATTATCGTGAAGCTAACCACGATCAGATCAGGTGGTAGGGTCGGAACCCTACTCGTCACCAACCCTTGATCATGGAGGAAAATCCATCCGATGAGTTTGTGGACCCTACCCAGTATCCGATACGGCGATGGTGGATTGGATCAAGCCGGCCTCGAATGTCACAAAGAAGGGGGATATAGATGAATATGCGCACCTCGTGTGGTGCTGGTGTCTAGGCCTCGTCCGGCTGGGGCTGCAGGTATTCTGAGACTTTTTTCCGCGCACGCAGTTTCCTTTGCTATCTTTTTTTTCTTTTTCTTTTTTTTTTTTTTTTTGGGTAAAAGCTTCCGTGGAAATTGTGGCCGAATTCCACGGGTAAACACTGAGCTTATTAGCTATCCAGCATGGGCAATTTATCAATGATCTTACAACAAGAGGATAGCATCGCTGTTCAAGGTGTGGCCTGAGTCGGAGAAGAGCCCAATGTGTTAGATAGTCATAGACTCAAGTAGTACAATAAAAACACACACACACACTCAGTATCCCTCGAGTTTGACACCACCGTAACCTAACTAGGGCCCAAGGCAGTGTCGCCATTCAGCTAAGAAGAGAGTACATCGGGCTCAATTCTTAGCTGTGCAGAAGGAAATTACCAGGAGTAGACAAGCCAAGCTGTCAACGTGGATATCCGTCACAAAACATCAAGCACATGGAATTGGCGTGTCCGCAGTGGGCAAATGGAAGAGGCGAAGGAGGGCATGACTGAACACCTGTACGCGGTGTCCTCTACGAACCTGGGAGTGAAATATTCTCCCAGAGCCAAGTTCAGTCAAATTTCGCAATACCGAACAAGTTGGCCCACGAGGCAATGATTCAAATAACTCAACCACGTCAAGTTTTCGTTCCAAAAAAGATCGAATCCTACCTAAGCCTCATCAAGTCTACAAGTACGACCTAGTACATCCTTGTTCCAATGACCACACCTCTCGTCGACCTTCTCTGGCCTCAGTTGACCACCATATACACGCCCACGCCGATATTTACACCCGACGGAGGAAGCAAAGCGTGGCGCACAAATCTGGAAGACAGTTCCTTGGGATGGATGTGAGAGGGATCAGGACAAGTTGATAAGATGATGCAGAGGATTGGATACAGTCTCGACGGGCGTGGAATTTTGAGTTTTGGAAAGGAGTTTTTACAAATTGAGCTTTGTGCGTGCCAAGTCTTCGGCTGCGAGAGTGCAGGCGACACTATAAAAACTGCCATGGTTGGATGGTGCGGTGGTACATCGTCATGGCCGGTCTGCCAAGTAGAGTCTGGATAGCTTGGACACATATCCCATTCGAGACAGTAGATCGCTGGTTCAAATCCAGCAAAACACAACCACATTTCTTGCGGCGCTGGTATGCACGGATGACGAAGGCATGCTTGGATAACCAAAGGTTTTGAAATTCCCTTTGGTGGGTACTAACGGAAGAGGGTCGACTGTTTGTGTAAGCGAACATACCTCATAGTGGTATTTACAAATGAAATCCAGAGTAGGAGTGTCTCTGACATCAAAAGAGTCATCCCACATGTATGCGTAGCATCGGTCATGTGTCATAGCTAGATAGCTGAATACACATCATATGATTTAAAAAAAAAAAGGAAGAGGCGAATTTCTCCGATAAGCTAAAGACGCGTCATTTGAAGCAATGATAAACAGCTCAGAAGAGGTGGCTAGAATCACACAGTGGATACTAAGAATAGGGTGGATAAAACAGTTTCAATTTGCAGGGGAAGTCTTGGTAGCAATATCGGATAAAATAAATAGTTCTGGAAGGGGAGAGGACGGAATCCACACTAGCTGAACAGTGCACATTGCACTTCCTGAAGGTAAACTAGACAAATTAATAGTAACATAAACAGACAGGATGAGGGGGTTTTCACCAGATTGGGTTTCCTTCTTTGTAAATAATGAAGATAGTCACCTGCATGGACCCACAGGGTGCCTGATCGGGTTAATTGAAATCAAAATCAAAATCCCACTTCTTAGAGTGCACATGACTACTATTCCAATACAAGAGAAAGAGAAAGAGATTTTTATTGTTCTACAGTGCGGACTCATTTTTTTTGAGTCATTTAATGTGTATTCAGCTATCTAGCTATGACACATGACCGATGCTACGCATACATGTGGGATGACTCTTTTGATGTCAGAGACACTCCTACTCTGGATTTCATTTGCAAATACCACTATGAGGTATGTTCGCTTACACAAACAGTCGACCCTCTTCCGTTAGTACCCACCAAAGGGAATTTCAAAACCTTTGGTTATCCAAGCATGCCTTCGTCATCCGTGCATACCAGCGCCGCAAGAAATGTGGTTGTGTATTGCTGGATTTGAACCAGCGATCTACTGTCTCAAGTGGGATATGTGTCCAAGCTATCCAGACTCTACTTGGCAGACCGGCCATGACGATGTACCACCGCACCATCCAACCATGGCAGTTTTTATAGTGTCGCCTGCACTCTCGCAGCCGAAGACTTGGCACGCACAAAGCTCAATTTGTAAAAACTCCTTTCCAAAACTCAAAATTCCACGCCCGTCGAGACTGTATCCAATCCTCTGCATCATCTTATCAACTTGTCCTGATCCCTCTCACATCCATCCCAAGGAATTGTCTTCCAGATTTGTGCGCCACGCTTTGCTTCCTCCGTCGGGTGTAAATATCGGCGTGGGCGTGTACATGGTGGTCAACTGAGGCCAGAGAAGGTCGACGAGAGGTGTGGTCATTGGAACAAGGATGTACTAGGTCGTACTTGTAGACTTGATGAGGCTTAGGTAGGATTCGATCTTTTTTGGAACGAAAATTTGACGTGGTGGAGTTATTTGAATCATTGCCTCGTGGGTCAACTTGTTCGGTATTGCGAAATTTGACTGAACTTGGCTCTGGGAGAATATTTCACTCCCAGTTTCGTAGAGGACACTGCGTACAGGTGTTCATTCTTGCCCTCCTTCGCCTCTTCCATTTGCCCACTGCGGACACGCCAATTCCATGTGCTTGATGTTTTGTGACGGATATCCACGTTGACAGCTTGGCTTGTCTACTCCTGGTAATTTCCTTCAGCACAGCTAAGAATTGAGCCCGATGTACTCTCTTCTTAGCTGAATGGCGACACTGCCTTGGGCCCTAGTTAGGTTACGGTGGTGTCAAACTCGAGGGATACTGAGTGTGTGCGTGTGTTTTTATTCTACTACTTGAGTCTATGACTATCTAACACATTGGGCTCTTCTCCGACTCAGGCCACACCTTGAACAGCGATGCTATCCTCTTGTTGTAAGATCATTGATAAATTGCCCATGCTGGATAGCTAATAAGCTCAGTGTTTACCCGTGGAATTCGGCCACAATTTCCACGGAAGCTTTTACCCAAAAAAAAAAAAAAAAAAGAAAAAGAAAAAAAAGATAGCAAAGGAAACTGCGTGCGCGGAAAAAAGTCTCAGAATACCTGCAGCCCCAGCCGGACGAGGCCTAGACACCAGCACCACACGAGGTGCGCATATTCATCTATATCCCCCTTCTTTGTGACATTCGAGGCCGGCTTGATCCAATCCACCATCGCCGTATCGGATGCTAGGTAGGGTCCGCAAACTCATCGGATGGCTTTTCCTCCATGATCAAGGGTTGGTGACGAGTAGGGCTCCGACCCTACCACCTGATCTGATCGTGGTTAGCTTCACGATAATGGTGATAGGGGAATATGTTGAGAGATGAAGACGATACAGACGGCGAAAGAGATTGGGAATCCTCGTCGAAGTGAGGACTTTGTTACTCAATCTTGGCTCTACAGACTCTATAGTGAGAGCTGGAGGTTCGTATGTGACACCACTGACAGGTATTGAGAATAGTCCCCCTCGGTGTGGGAGTATACTTAGTGGCCATCTGAGGCCAAAGCATGGGACGATGGAAGGTGTGGTAAATGACATGGGAATGTGCTATGTTTTACTTGCAGGCCTCATGACGCTTTGATGGGAATAGATATTTTTTTTAATTTATGGCGTATTCAGCTGTAAAGCTATGACAATAGAGTGAAAGATCGATATGGCGGAAATTCTTTAATGATTGCCTCGTGGGTCATCTTCTTTAATATTGAGAAATATGACTGAACTTGGCACTGAGACAATATTTCGTATTAGGTTCCGAAAAGATACCGCGGACAGGTGTTCAGACTTTGTCGTCCTTGCAATTATTTCATGAAAGTAATAGCCTGAAATGCTTTCGCCGTAATTGTAAAAATATCGCACCAATAGTCATATCTGCAACGCCGGCAAAGACAAGTTCTTCACCTTCTAGTGGTACCGGTATAATCGCTCACTATGCTCTGCACATGTGGGATAGCCAAGAAGAATCGCATCCAAATCGAAGTCGAAAGCACTCACAAGCACATCTAAAATCGATGACTTCTCGACAAAAGCTTGACCTATTATTCTCACGCGAGTCTTCTACTTCAATACTACTACATCACCTCGCCCCAAACACCGATAATGGCGTTACTCCAATTGCAATCGTGTATTTGCCTCATCAAAAACCGATCAACTCCCACTTCAAGATTACGATGCTACGCATACCCGCGAAGAGGGAGTTAATTCATAGTCTACAAAGCTCGGGTCTTGGTCTATGGGGGACCGTTGCTCTAATGGGGCTTCGCATCTTGAGGGTGGAGAGGCGGCTGGGACGTGGGACGAACGAGCGAAGAGGTCACAAATGGGCAAGCTGGGACGCACATTTTTCGAGTGTTTTCGACGTAAGGGTGTCTATGGGCGCAGAGGCAACGATTTCAGATAGTGCAAGCGACACTTTAAAAACAGGCAATGTTGGAAGGTGTTTTGGCCCATCTCCTGGTCGTCATGTCCCCGAGTTAAAGTCTGGGTAGCCTGGACACCTACTTCACTCGAGAAAGGGAGGACTATGAGGCCATATCTCGCGCGGCGGCTTTATACAAGATGACAGAGGTATGTTAGGATAGCCAAAGGTTTTTTCTGTTTTCCCTTTGGTGGGTATTAAGGGTTGAGGAAAGGGTGAAAGTCCCTAGCACCAAGGTCTCGAGTGTTATTAGCGAGTACACTCACTACATGAGTAGTCCAAATATCAAACTGAGTTATTGTCTTATGTAGTCGTCGAAGAAGCTAGCCTTCTCCGTGTCATGCTCTTTGAGCGCAGGGCTTGCGCCCGTCCCAAAAAAATTTCTTTCTTTCAAATCATAAAAAGCATGTAAAAAACAGAACACATTACTCCAGACTCGGTAGTAATTCTTCAAACCAAAAATCAAATAAGCACACCGAAGCTCTGCTATATCAGCGAAGATTATCAATCCTCTAAAAATTCGTATATTGCAATTATCTGACTAGTTATCCTCACTTCTTAACAGTAATCACCTTGAATGACGACGCTCAAAGGACTTGAGTCATCAAAGGCTTGCCCACATACTCTTGCATTATTCTCACCTGGACGAATGACACAACGTTTGAGCACAGAAGAAGTGAGATTCGTTACCCTACTGAACATTGGATTAAGCGTCTCGTTCCCCTAAATTAATTATTGGTTAAAAACTAGTCATCTTGGAAAGAAGCTGAAGGGAGATGAGCTACCCACCCCATTACATGTGAAGATGCCGGATCCATATGAGCAGCTGACTCGAGCGCAGCTATGAGCGGGAAGGTTCGCAGTACCATTAATGCTACTCAAGTAGCGTGCACCATTCCACGTCGCTCGTGGACCAGCCCATGTCGCAAAGTTCTGGCCAGGAACTGGACAACAGGTTGTATTAATTTTTGACTCTTCGGGCTAGTTTTTTTGGTGAAGTTAGTAAGGGAATATGGTCCATCGGGATTGTACTGGTCTCCCTACCAAATCCGGAACTCGCGGTGGAATTGTCGCAATTATGCTAATAGTTGGATGATTTTGCTTCAAGTAGGCCAGAATAGCCTACAGTCTAGGCTGCTTAATTTCTGCTACTGGAGAAAGTTACAGTGTTGGTGGATGGCACGTACCTCAATTGTTCCATTCAGTTGTATGTTGTATCCGTAGACTGTTTGATCGAGGGAAAAATTTACCAGAGTGTAGCCTTCCACGCTAATTGTTGCTTTAAGTTCGCTTGCTTTGTTGCGGATTTGCAAATACTTTGCAATTTTAGACAAAGATCCCCCTGACGGATAAATATCACTTGCACGGGATATAGCTAGAAGGAGAATAAAAGCTGCAAGCTTGAAAAAATTAATTATAACCCTTGGCATGTTGTAGTTCAGGACCTTTCACTAATCGTGATTGAGTTTTAGCCAGCAGGGTTTATCTTTGTCATCAATTTGAACGCAGAGTATTGGTGTGAGGTGACAGAATGAAGGAAAGGGTTTGATAACAGTATATAGGGACTTGGAAATCTGTGACAAAAGGGAAGCCTTCGTGCTTATAGGGATATGTAAGACCAGATCATCTTAGGAGCTACCTTCTAGTCTAGACTAGGCAGACATTTTATGATGATCCCTTTCTGTATCATAGGCTCGACATTAGATTTGGCTGTCTGATAAAAAATGTGTGGCTGCTTTTACGTATAATTTTTTCTGCTATACTCTTGAAGGGTGGGCGGAATATACCACCATATTACTGTGGTTAGAGGCCCAATAAAGTCAAGTGCGAGGAGATCATTGTAGACTTAGGGTCACCACATAGTTGCAGCAGGCTTCACATCCGTAGTAGCTGGTGCGAAGTCCTTGTCAGGCGACAAATTTGAAACTAATCAGTAAAATTCGGTGCTCCTTGTCAAAGGAACTACCTCGTTCGCAAGCTGCCTTGGCAATGAATCTTTCTATGACTCTCTGCTTAGATTGAGCAATAATAGTAAGGATGCACGAAGCCTGCAGGTTGCAGCTTGATGGAAATCCGAAGTTTATTTACTACATGCAGTTATCTTGGGCAGGCACGGTCGCTACATCTTGCCGCAGTGGGAGATAGTACAATAAGAGGGTCAGGATTTCTTTTATGTCCTCGACGGCGAGACCGTGAATATCTGGAAGGCTGGACCTATAATTTAGAGGATGAAAGGCCTAATCACTCTGGTACCCATGACGACCGCTGTAGGCAGTAAAACTAGACAAAGCATGCGAGATGACCTATCAGCGGACCTTGAAGATATTCGTATTAGTGAACTGAGATGTGAAGGGATGGCGAGTGACTGGTCTGTGGAATTGTGAGGCTACTAGATGAGTCGGGATGTTGTGTAAGGTTTTCTATGTGAAGATATACCCTGCTTCACTCAGCCGAGTATTGTAATGTGGGCCATTCGCGAGATAAACATCCTAGAGGGGCTTCTTAAGACACATCAGTGCCGCGTCACTTAGCCCGTGACGGCATCTCCGGAGTCCATGCGCAGAAAGGACATGCGACATGCAGAACGGCAACTCCGACGCCTTGGATCCGGTTCTTTTGATGAAAAATTTGTCGGCTTCCATAACACTCCAACATGGTATGACGCATCCTGTATCGAGCTGGGAATCTGAAATTATCATCATTGAAGTTCACCACCCAACCGGTTTTACATTCCAAGTCGCAACAAAGGCGCCAGCGAAAGGAATTTAAGCCTGAGAAGGAGAAAATTGAGCGCTGTAACGTGGATGATAAGGTGGAATCTCTGGCTTGCCGGTCATTTGAGTCGTTCTCTCCACTCTACACTGCGAACCAGTGTGATTGTTGCACGAGCCTGAGTGTGATGTGCAATTCTAGAATGGACTTTCAGTTTAATTTTGCTTTTAAAAAACCCTGGCTTACGAGTCAAGGATTCACCTTACAATCACGTCAATTTTTCGCTTCCAACGAGGCCTGATTCTAAATAAAGCCGCGCGACATCTACTAGAACTAAGTAGCACAGCCTCACTTACATAACCGCACTTCTCAAAAGGTCGATCTCTGACGTAAACTGGTTTCCTGATAGACGTCTACGAAGTCATATGATCTTCATGCGCAAATCTCGTGAGACTGATCTTTAGGCTCAGTGTAAGAGATGGATAAACAGATACACGAGGTAAGACTTAGGATAAGCATATTTCTAGAAGTAATGATCCTATTTTTTGGAGGGAGAGCTTCACAACGAAGAAAAATGTACGTGTAGTGGGTAACCTAAGGAATATCGTAATTACTATCTTACCAAGTTTTTTGAAGAAAACTAATCTTATTTTATTTGGAAATCGGTTTAACTGTACATTGCAGGAGAGCGTGTGTGTTGTAGTTACCACATTGCATAATCCAATGTGTAGAGCTAGGTATATTCAGGATGCAACCGATCGACGAACAGTTTGTCACATTATCCTTCTACATTTTCCGATGTTTTCTTCAGATAACTTGTTCGTTTGCTTTGTGAAGTGAGGAGAGAATGGCCCCCATCGCAACCCACTAGAGCTTTAGCATCACTGTGGCCGGGCTGAATCAGGTAAAGTAATGTAAAAGTATACATGAACATCGTCCCACCCAACGATTGATGAAGGACTAAGGCTGAACACCTTTCAGTGGTGCCTGCTACGAATCTGGGAGTGAAATATTCTTCCAGAGCCAAGATTCAGTCACGACAAAGGGTTAATTTGACAGTTTTCGTCGAGTTGGCGATCGGGAGGAGTGGTGTTGGCTCATTTTTGGTTGAAAATCCGACTTGCAGAGATTTCACGACTGCGCAACTCAACGAAATCAACCATCTACACCCCAAATACAAACCGCAGACAGGCTACAACCTGTCTGATGTTCGTACTACAACAACCAACAACTTCAAGATCTTATTTTCTTTTTCTCTGGAAGATCATTCCCAGCCCATCTCATCTCGCGGTCCTCTTCACAATCATCTCATCACCTACCGAAGCAATCACATTCCTCCAAAAGTCAAATCGCCAACAAAAAAGCAAGAGGATATCCGATCCTCCGCAACTACCATTCGCTGCGAAGGTGCGGTTGAAATACCGGCCTTAAATGCATCCTTACCTCGGCCAAGGACACCAACAACTCGGCCTACGACGAATCGCCACCGACGAAATACGTACGATATCTCGCCTGTACACCAACTAGAGCGTTCGAAAAAGGCTGGGGCACCGGTGCCTCGGTCTTGAGCTCTCAGCCGCGTTTTTGACCTCCACGGTTAGGGGTACGGCAGCGACGGGGCAAGGCCGGAGTGGTGGACATTCTACAAAGTGTCTGGGATGATGAGATCGGCTGAAAGACAGAAGAATGCTGTATGGTGGATGGGGGGAAAGGGAATATAGACTGAGGAGGCCCTGGTGGACGACTTGTTGTAATGGAAGTTGTGTAGAGAAGCGTAAGCTGTTAGGCTTGTATTTAATATCACCTAGTGAAGCGAGTTGGGAGATTGAAGAGTCTGAAAACTGTAGTGGAGAGTTGTTGATTAAATCCACTTAGTATCAGAGCGCTATTTAAACTTATTACCACATCTAAGTGAAGGACACGATTCACCTGTTTATGCTAAATAATTGGGAGGCTGGTCAATGTATAAGTCGTCATGAATGTGGCTATTAATAATAGAACCTTTTTGCGTTCCGTATTAATGCCACTATTCATTGCCATGTATCGCCAATTTCAACACGACTAGATGAGGCCTTCAACAAAGAAAACGACCCCTGGATAAGACGAGGAGATGCTGAGGTGAGCCAAAGCCGTGACTGAATGAAAGAAAGAGTTACAGATCGCGAAGGTGTCAAGGGCTCGGGCGCGTGATGGTCGGGGCTGAGAAAGAAATTGCGCTTCGGCGCCTCAAAAGAGGGTTCTCTGCACGTGTTACGGATTGTGGTCGTGATCTAATCTTTTTTTTTTTTTTTTTATTTCACAGTGTATTCAGCTATCTAGCTATGACACATCTTTTCTACAATTCCAGTTCCCAGAACTCCTACATTTCAACTAACTCAACAATCAATTCATAAAATTCCCATTTAGATATCCTAATTTAATTTCCTTTATGTGCTGCCATGCACTTGGATGTATCCAAATATTTGAGTAATGCTTGTTTTCCTTTTCTAGTGCAGAACAGAATTGGAAGTATCCTTGGCTCTATGCCTTTAAAACAATTGTTTCTCTGCTTTGTAAACTTGGGGCAATGTAACAATAGATGCTGAACAGTTTGCCTTTCTCTCCCACAAAAATTACACATATTGTCTTGAACTTTCCCAATCATGTGCAGGTAGACTCTTGTGTTGCCAACACCAAGTCTTGCTTGGAAATATCCACATTCTGTCTCTCTGCTATTCGTGATCTAATCGCTCGATCGAAATATACGAAGTTTATTCTGATTTCCTAAAGTAATGATAACGCGTGAACAACTACAATGCGGAATAAGAACACATGGAAAGGAAAGATTTTTTACAGGGGTTTGACAAAGCGGTCCCTAAGGCCATAATTATACTTGGGCCGCACACAGTGAACGGCAGGAGTTTGTGCACTAGATCCTGTAACATCACGGTCGAGCTTGACATGATTCAACACATGGATCAGGTCTGAGGTGGTCCGGTCATTCAGGTGGGACGAGATATTTGTACTTTACGGTAGTTAACCTGATCCGGCCCGACCCCACCCGTGCATAAGCTCCAGTATGAGTGCTACGGGAATAATTTTACCTAGCACGTTAATGAGAAAATCAACCCAACCCAAACCAAACCATCCAACGATTGGATTGACGCTGACATGTATCGATTTGTTGTTCTAGCCAGCAAAGTCAAATTCTTCACTTTCCAGTGGTGCCGGTGTAATCGCTCAGTATGCTCTGCATATCTAGGATGGCCAAGAAGAACCGCATCTGAATCGAAGTCGAAAGCTGACATATATACATCTTTAATCGCCGACTTCTCATCATTGGCGGTCTTATTATTCTCACTAAAATCCTCTACCTTAACCTCTCCACACACCAGCTCGCCTCAACGACTGATGAAGGCGTTGCCCCAATTGCAAACATGAGCTTGTCTCATTCATTACCGAATATCACCCACTTTTAATTTACAACGCTACGTATAGCCGCAAGGAGGAAATTAAGTCATAATATACAAAGTTGGGCTAAGCTACCATTTGGCAATCACGCTCTGTCAAGACTTTTCTGACATTTCAGCACGACCTTCGGGAAGGAGTTGGAAGGGGGCTAGGAAGACAGGGAGTGGATTTCCCGAATTGCACACAATTCTGCAGAGCCCAGCTGGCCGGCTTCTTCGAACGCTTCAGAAGGGTCGCTTTGTCTACGGATCTAGTCCTGATGTCGGTATTAGGAGAGCTCTGCACCCAGTGGTTTTTGCGATTTTTCCCGGCTGCCACACACCCGCAAATGGCGATCGTTTCGTTGGCTGGAGAGGGCAGATAATGAAGGGCAAATGGCTCATCTAAGTGTCCAATTGAATGAGGACTTATGAGAGGTGGTACTATTTGAGAGGAGGTTTGTGGGAGGCATAGGTATCGGTTCACAGGTGAATGGCGTAGGGTTAAAGGGCTTGTACTAAGTGTTTACTTCCAAAAGTATTGGTCATCGCATCACGTGATATAATTAGGGCGCTAAGCTTCACATTGTACCTTAGATATTAATGCTTGAGGAGGGAGAGAACAGAAGAGATAGACAGAATATACCACTTGTTTTTAGCATTTTTGAGGCGTTAAACGAAGTGAACCCCGTTGTACCAACAACAGGTATCCTTGGTCTGTCGGCAGATAAGACCTGTATGTCCTACATAATCATAGACTTAGACAGGACAATAAGATGAAATAATAATATACACCACCAGCCTTCAATGGATTGTCAGCTCGGTAGACTTAAGCCTGTAAATTGCTCTTGCATACGCCGAGATTGTATCTGTTATCTGCATCATTTTGTAATTTTCTCTTAATTTCTTTTGCACCGATGTGTAAAAATCACAAAGTTATTTGGGAAGTGCGTTAAGAGTCGCTAGACTCTTGCGACAATCACTATAGAGGGATTATGACTGGAGTTGACAGACTAAATAGAAAAGTGGCAAAAATTGTATTACTGTTAAAATAAAGTGGTACAATTCAGTGCGTAAGTAACATGGAGTTACCTTATTTTGATATAACCAAGCATGTACGTCTCATTCTAATTTAATTCCTCCCTTGATACTAAGTTGGAATTGACATGTTCCTTCCCTTCCACAGATTTTGAATACTCGTGTGGATCGAGATACGTGTTATAATGCCAGTCACTGTATTAGGAGTGGGTGTAGTGTATAAACCATCTGACACATGGTTCAGATTGTCAGGATACATGTCTGATGCTGACTAACGCCTTAATATGGTCTAACTGACGTCTGATATTCCAACACTATCTGTAGAAACTGCCTCCCAGAGTTGTGCGCCGCGATCTGAATCTTCCCTAGGATTTAAACATCAGCCTGGGCGTCTACTCGGTGACCGGAAGAAGCCAGATATTAATCAATGATAGTTGTGGTCACCGAAATAAGGATGTACCAGGTAATACTTGCAGACTAGATGAGGCCTAGGTAGGAGACGATCTCGTTGGGATGAAAATTTGAAGTGTTGGAATACTTTGAATCATTGCCTTGTGGGCCAACTCCTTTGGCATTGCGAGATTTGATTGAACTTGGGTCTGGGAGAATATTTCACTCGCAGATTCGTAGTGGACATCTAGGACAAGTGTTCTATGTCCTCCAAAAACGAGCCTCATTATTAGGGACAGAATGCGGCGTGACCGGCTGCGCACAGGACCTCAACGGATCCCGTCGTAATGTAATGGTCGTGGTGTAAGCAACTTCACCCTCAGCATGTCATCAACCACGACGAATCCGCTCGCTTCATCTGTCGCCTCACTGCGCGAAAGTCTTGCGCATCTCGAGAGCAGCATTTCCATCCTCGCCCACGGCACCGCCGACTTTCCACGCCTCGCCACCGTCCTTTCAAGTACTCGGGTGAGTCGCACCTTTGCGCCCACGCGCCTACCTGCGCCAGCTAACTCTCGGGCGCGCTGTCGCCGCTATAGCACTTTGAAGTGACGCCATCCACGAATCTTAGCGCAGCCCAGGCCGCCCTTGCCGCCGACCTAGCACCGGCTGTACAACAGCTTGTTGCGCGCACCGAGACGGCCCTGGCCAAGCGCGAGCGCCAGGTGCAGCAACTACAGGCCCGAAGTGAGCTCCTTGCCGGCCGCCTGAATTGTGCGCGTGCAAGTAGTGCCGCAGCGCCAGCCTCACCCTCTGACGGGCGTGCTGCTGGGCTGGAGGAGAAGGAGGTGCGGCTCAGAGCACTACGACAGAAAAAAGAGCGATTGGCCTTTGCCGTCGAGAGATTAATGTTGCAGAGCCGTCAGCGCCAGCGACAGCTTCGCCTCAGCGTGGCCGCCACCTAAGGTATCGGCCTGTTCACCGAAGCTTATAGCCTGATGATTTCGCGTGTCGTTAACGCTCGAGAAACATTTACTAGAGGTAGCCATGTAACGCTTTAGCTGTGCCATACGGGAGGTGGAAAGAGAATCCCATAGTCTGTACGCTTGGCCACAACGATACTAAAGGACCTTATTGACGTCTGTCGGGGATCATCTTACTTGTAAATGCCGAGGAAGTCAGGGAAATTTCATATCGCAAATGATCTAGGGAGATTGCTCTACATGGCGTCGGGATTTCTGATTTCTATTCTATTCTTTTCTAAACAGTAGAACTAGCAGCCCTATTTACCTTCTAGAAGCCCAATTATTTATACCTGTCCCTAAATTGCTTGATCCGGTCAGATAAAAAGATGTAGAAGCTTGTTATCTGCCGTTTCTCATCCAACACGTAACCTGAAATGTATTTAATCTATCATGATTCAGCAGAACTTTCTTTTCACCTTGTAGATATTCTTACCAACCAGTTCTGACCTCATCGATCTACCTGTTATCGATACCTCGACAGGTGCAAGAGATGTCAACAATAGAAAGCTTTCACTATTCACAACTTGGTTTTCGAAAGTGCAGGAGACACCTGAAACACCGCCGTCGTTGGAGGGTGCGGTGGTAGATCATGTTGGACTATTTTAGAGATGGGAGTTGAAGGTAACAAATCATCCAAGGATTGCTTCTCTATTCCCTGGCTATTGAGTATCCAAAAAACATAGATTTTCCTCATTTGAAACCCCATAAGATAAGTCACTGGCAATAATGCTACAGTAGAAACATACCAAAACATGCTCAGGACAGACGAGATTAGTATATCATCGGAAACATGACTATGAACCCAATTCAAAGTATAAGTGATGTCTAATCCGAACAAAAAGATATTTTCCTTGATACGCATCATGTATCAGGACTAACTTCTCCGACCCGAGTCATGTTGTGAGTCAATTCGGGTAAACCTAGAATTACCGTAGCTCAACACATCATCTTGGCCGGTCTCTGAAGAAGATTCTGGATAGCGTGAATACGTGACCTACTTGAGACAGGATAGAGAGAGAGACATGTATATATACATAGAATGAGGCGTGTTTATTGCACAACTTGTCTCAAATTATTATTATTGTTGTCGGAAAATGGTTCAATTTGCTTTGCACTATGCGTAGTGTATCTTTCAGTTGCCTAGTCATTGTCTTGATGACTCAGCCAATGCTGCGAACTACACGTTCGCAAAGTTCTTGGATGGGGAGAAGACATAAAACAAGAATATATACCTCACTTTCGTACCTTTCGCTTTGCATTGAACTAACCTTACGTATATGTAAATTAAGGCCAATCGACAACAGTTATTATTAATTTATTATTAATTCTTCTTATTGTACTGTCTAAGTCTATGACTATGTTGGACATGCAGGTCTTATCTGCCTACAGGCCAAGGATACCTATACCAGTAGTATATCCCCTCCTATGCCTCCCATGCAGCTCCCCTCACAAGTCCTCATTCAATTGGACACTTAGATGGGCCATTTGCCCTTCATTATCTGCCCTCTCCAGCCAACGAAACGATCGCCATTTGCGGGTGTATGGCAGCCGGGAAAAATCGTAAAAACCACTGGGTGTGGGCCTCTCCTAATACCGACATCAGGACTAGATCCGTAGACAAAGCGACCCTTCTGAAGCGTTCGAAGAAGCCGGCCAGCTGGGCTCTGCAGAATTGTGTGCAATTCGGGAAATCCACTCCCTGCCTTCCTAGCCCCCTTCCAACTCCTTCCCGAAGGTCGTGCTGAAATGTCGGAAAAGTCTTGACAGAGCGTGATTGCTGTACGGTAGCTTAGCCCAACTTCTTTTGTGCCGTCCAGGGCGCTAGGGAGTGCCGTTGACTCATCGATGAGAGAAGCCCTCCTGGCTTATTAGCCGAAATCTTAGTCTTGGCGCCCACAAAAAATTCAAAGTTGAAAACTCCTCGAAAATATGAGTCCCAGCATGGTCTTCATTCGAGTACACACTAAGAGGAGCCGTCATCCCGTCATTATCTCACCTCTCCAGCCAACGAAAAGATAGCCATTTGCGGGTGTGTTGCTGCAGGGAAAAGCCTCAAAAACCACTGGGTGCGAGCTCTCCTATGACGAAGAGGCCGACCAAACAGGCGCAGCAGACCTGTGTATACGTAAGAACGTCTCTCAACCCTCCTAGCCTCCTCCTTACTCCTCCCCTGATTCATGCCTCATGACAAATCGGAGCTCGTGAAAATATGACAAAAGATTCTTGGTCGAGAATGACTGTCGTGAAAGAGCCTAGAATCCAAAAATTGATACGGACGTGGGATCTTCGAGTTACTCGTGTATTTTAGATGCTCTCCTGGCTAGTAGATTCGGAGGTATAGATTAGTAGGGACGATATTTTTGACGAGTCGAAATCTACTTTTTGGGGGCGGAAGGGTCTTTTACATTGCTTTCATGGGCTTTTTGTTCGCCCGCCGGTGGGTAGCACATGTTGTGATATAACAAGAGCTTCTCTGACTACCGTTGTAGCGTGTGGTACCGCATTATATTTCCTCATTCCCAGCATCATTATTATCTCGGTTCTGCAGACTCTACAGTGAGAGCTGGAGGTTCGTAGAGGACACCACTGACAGGTGTTGAGAATAGTCCCCCCTAATCTTGTAGAAGGATGTTGGAAATGGAGACACAGAGTGTTATGGACGTACGGGCCCTCCATTTCGTATAGGTTCCCAACACGATCTTTTTTTTTGCATCAGATTTTAATTGCGTATGCAGATATCTAGCTATGACACGATATCAAAGAAAAGTACAGAATAAATGATTCAACGTAAAGGAAGAGCACTCATGCCTCGGATTTCATTTGCAAATACCACTGCGAAGTTATGGCGGCTTTTTCTTCACCCCAAGTCAACCCTCATCAGTGAATACCAACCCAGGGGAACGTCTAAAAAAACCTGAGTTTTCCAGACATGTCTCCATCATCCGTTCACTTTTCTCCGCGCGAAATATTGTCTTTGGAGTCTCATTCCCAAGTGGAGTAGGCGCTCAGGCTACTCGAACCATACCATAGAACACCACCAGGAGGCAGACCACGGCACCTTCCATCGTTGACTTGTGTTTATAGTGTCAGCTACACTCTCGTAAGCGAAGTCTTGGCGCGCATAAAGCTCAATTCGTAAAACTCTTGCCAAAATTCGAAATTTCACGCCCGTCGAAAACGTATCCCTCTTCTGCATCATCTTGTAAACTTGTCCTGATCCCTCTCACGTCCATCCCAAAGAGCTATCTCTCAGATTTGTGCTCCACGCTTTGCTTCCTCCGTCGGGTATAAATATCGGCGTGGGCGTGTATTTGGTGACCGGCTGAGGCCAGAGAACGTCGAGGAGAGGCGTGGTCATTGAAACGAGGATGTACTATGTCGTACTTGTAGACTGGATGAAGCTTAGTTGAGAATCAGACTCTTTGGGAGTGAAAGATTGACATGGTGGAGTAATTCGAAATTTTGCCTCGTGGGCCAACTTGTTCGGTATTGCGAAGTTTGACTGAACTTGGCTCTGGGAGAATATTTCACTCCCAGGTTCGTAGAGGACACAGCGTACAGGTGTTCAGTCTTGCCCTCCACTCGTTTATGCTGTGGCTTAGCGTCTGTGTCGCTTACACTTGTACTTGGAGCGCACACTTCCCTCTCCTTTAGATTTAATCCGAACATGACACTCCTTTAGTCAACTTCTTCTTTCGTCCCATAAATATTGCGCCCACTTTATTGCGCGATATTTCCAACAGTATGGGACACCATTGACAGGTGCTGAGAATAGCCCCCCTGCACGTGACCTTACATATATACTCCTGGCAAGCTAGCTCACTAGATATTAATTCTACTTGTTCCATACATCACAGGTTATGAGCCCTTATGTTGCTTCCGCTTATGGCTCAACATAATGGCTAAAAACTTATCTTCTATTGTGCGATCGCCTTACTACTAACCTGTCCGCATCATACTGCGGCTTCCGCACAAGTAGAAGATATCTGATTCAAGTATGTCGAAGCCCTCTGAAGAGGCAAATATCAAAACAATTGCTAGTAAATATTCCGATGACGAATTTATTATTCACGGGGATTTCTTTGCGAGCACTGATGATATCAAAGACTCTAACAAAAAGACTGAGATATGGATACTTATAGATCGACCCAAAAGTATTGTCGAAATGTCTCCAATTCCAAAATTGAGGAATTATAAGTGGCTTCACTGGAACGAATCAGTACAGAAGCTAATATTTTTATCACAAACCTTAGCAGCATTCTTAAATAATCCTCCTCACAACAAGGCAACAAAAATGTGGTCAACCTGGTGAGCGACCAAGTTCAGAGAGTCTGCACCACATATACCAACCGCACCACGTGATTCTACACGGAAAATTCTTCATGAATAAGTGCTGTCAACTTAAACCAAGGCTCACAATATTGTTTTCAGCACCACTTCTCGATTCTGGAAATTTATACCCTACCAAATATATCTGCAGGATTATTTCACAGAATACCACAAACGACTTCTAGAACTCAGAGAACATACTTTTATAACCCCAGAAATAGAGATTCGAATGAGAAATCTCCTGCTTTTCTACGTCACTAATATCCAGCTGGATCCAACTAATCGCTGCCGTTGTCTATCATTTGACAACACTTTCTTTGAATGCTTGGCGTGGATTCCTACCTCTAAATCAACCTCTCATGCTAAAAGTAATAACAAATCGAAATGTGCCTATTGTCATAATTCGGGGCATTCAATTGATGAATGCAGAAAAAGGAAAAGGGCGGGAAAAGATAAGCCAATCCATAGTAATAACTATGAGAATCAGCGAAAACCTCCAACTATAAATAAAATTTATTATAACTGTGAGCAGATGCATGTCTTAGCATAGTCAGCTCTAGTTATACAGTCATGTGATACATTAGGATTACGGAGTAAGGGGTTTGGGTCTGGGAGTTATGCAGGTATTGCAGATGATCCGAGCGCGTATATACCTAGGGATGGCACTCTTTCTGTTTGCACTTGAAGTGGAGAACCTTAGTGATCTAGTTACAATACGAGATTGAGCCATTAACGTTTATACGGTAGCATTATTTAGGAGACGATTCATTCACGACACACGTACAATATTTCTGATACGCTTCTCACTCAGCATTACAGCATATTTATCTTACAGGATGACTTCAAAAGATTTACAGTTGGCCTACTACTCATAAGTTGTCTCTCCGATTCTAGTACACTGATGTAACGAGAGTATATATATCAGGATGTCGTCATCAGTATTTGGATTATCAAAGGCTGACTGCGAAGTTATAGCTCAGGCCGGAGGTGCTGAGCAGTCTGGAAACGTTGAAAGTCTATTTGGCTCAACTGTAAAGGGTTTAAGGAATTCAGAAGTACTTGAAGTCGTAAACGCAATGGAAATGAATAATTTTTCCTTGTGTTAACGACTTCAAGTATTTCTGAATACCTTAAACCCTTTATATATAATTTTTCCTTCCCTTTTTTCCCTACCACTTCCACCTGCTCGCCAGAAGTGTATGACCTTCAGAGTTCTAGACGAAGAATCGGAATCATTCACATCTCAATTGTCGTATCACAGTTTCTATCCACAGTCAAACTCATCGACGGAAGCAGTTGTCATGGACCGAGAAGAGCAAGGCGAATCAAGCTTTCGGACTGTGTCACGGACTGACCCTGTAATATTGTGTAGCACCTGGCAAACCGTGTCATGAGTGTACTCAAATCACAGTTAATGCGTTGCGATAGTTACAGTGTTGCGATAGCAACAGCTACCACCCAAGATACCAATTAGTTGCTATGATACAGATGTAGGCTATGGCATCACTGGTTATGGTGTCTACCCTCATGTACTTAAGGGAGCTCTGAGACTGTATTTGTACTGTAGCTTCTTGTCTTGTAATTTACTTACTCTCTTGACCTCATCTTCGACCTCGACCTCGTCTTTGTCTTAGTCCTCGACCTCGACCTCGACCTCGTCTTTGTCCTAGTCCACCGTCCGCGAGCTCTGACATTACAAGAAGCTCTCAAAACATCTTCGACATTCCGCACCACGTCTTCATCGGCCCCAGCTGATGTGAACCTTACTCCAGAGATTTTGAACAAACTGAGCAACATTTCCGACGTCTCCCAATTTGTGTACGGGGTGCAAAATAAACCGGAACTCATGCTTTCTGCGATTCAAGCACTTGTCAAAAGCAAGAATGCCACAACAGTAGAACTAGAGAATGCACAGAAAAGAGCAATTATGCTCGAAAAACAGGCAGCTAAGGGGAAACGCCCATCAGTTGATATGGAGGCCGTCA